TGATGGATAATTTCAAGAACACACCTCAGTATCTGTACGGTCGTTCACCTTCACAGATGGATATGTTCATGACAGAGGATAACCCTGTCCGCCGACAGGCAGGAAAAGTCACAGAGGTAATCTCTCTCGTTAATCGCTCTATGATATTCAAATTTTCCAAAGCCTGTGTCGAGAAATTGGGCGACAGACTGTTCTTGCTTTATTACATATAAACCTTATATTTGACGAAACAAGATATACCTCATAAACTGTTCTCTCCTAACAACATTAGTTACGTGTTTTCTGTAGGATACCATCTCATCAGCCAACAATTACTTGAATAATGGTGGAATGTGGAGTATGGCTGACGCGAACGAAAGAGGGCCCTCTAAGTATAGCATGAGCGTGAGCATGTATCGTGGAGGAGCAAGAGGTTCCGGAAGGCCTAGAACTGCTCCTCCTGATTTGCCGTCTTTGCTTTTAGATGCCCGTATTGTCTACCTCGGCATGCCGGTACGGAGCTTTCTCTCTCTAATAGAAGATATTATTTTGCAATATTTTTAGAGCGGTGCTATTTCCACCTCCAAAGTATCTCAATTCACCACAAAAAATATATAACATTATAAATACCCCTCAAATTTCTAATCCACCACTACTCTTTCTTATATTCGCTTAATCCAAATGTGTCCTAGGTTTTTTTTTTTCTATTACAAGATATTTAAACTTTCATATCAGATGACCTGCAGATTATGTAACATATTTTTTTTTTGAAAAATGGTGGAGTTTTTTAATAAATATTTAATTAGTTTAGTGGTGGACGGTTTATGAATTGTACAGAATATGGGTGAAAGAAGGGGTAAAATAGGAAATATTTTAATTTGGTGGTGAAATAAGATATTTTGAGAGTGGAAATAGCACCTTTCTATTTTTATCACCGTGACTTATTTTGGCTCGGTTATACAGATAGTACCTGCTGTGACTGAGCTTCTTGTTGCTCAATTTATGTGGCTGGATTATGACAGTCCGACAAAGCCGATATATCTGTACATCAACTCATCTGGCACACAGGTAATCCTTCTCACGTAGTTTTTTTTTCCTATATACACTTAATTGTCTCTAGTTTAAGGATCACCTTTCGATGGTAGTCTAATAATTGTTAATAATTGTTTTTTCTTATCCGTTTTTTGTTTTCCTAGAATGAGAAAATGGAGACTGTTGGATCTGAAACAGAAGCATATGCAATTGCCGACACTATGGCTGTAAGCCTCCTGATTATACAACATGGCTTGTACTTTTTCTCACTCATATACGAAAACTAGAAGCAAATTATATATACCAAATTGATTTTTATTTTTTATTTTATTTTTATATATTATTTTTTTTGGTTCCGGCAATAGTACTGCAAAGCAGATGTGTATACTGTAAATTGTGGAATGGCATACGGTCAAGCAGCTATGCTGCTGGCTCTTGGAGCAAAAGGCTATCGTGCATTGCAGCCACACTCATCCAGTAAGATATAAAGATATAAGATAATTGTACTTTTGTTGTTTATCTGTTAATTATATATTAGGTAATAATCACTCTGAATCCTCGATGTGCAATGGCAATACACTTTAGTAAACCGCTTTGTTTGCTGAATTTTGAAATCATGGTCGATTGGTTTGTACTGCAGCGAAACTATATCTTCCGCCCGTCCACAGATCAAGTGGAGCTGTCATTGATATGTGGATTAAGGTCCTCTCTCTCTCTCTCTCTCTCTCTCTCTCTCACTCTCTCTCTCTTTATATATATATATATATATATA